CGATATAATACACAATAAGTTATTGTTTTAAACCATAGATTATATTTTAAAACAGCCACAAACAAAATGGTATAAACTGGGACCAGTTGTTCCAATACAGGAAAAAGTCTCCAAGAGAAAACAGAGCAGAGACATCTCATAGCTCTTTTCTAATAATACACTTCCTCTGCTTAGATACGTCATCAAGGTAACAGAATATTTCCCGCTTGTAAGATCAATAGGTAAAATTAAAAAGGTGAACGCAAATATGAATAATTGGTCTATAGATTTACTGTTTTGTGATCTAGCGAATCTCTCTGGTCAAATAAGCAACTGCAATTGAACGCCAATATCAATTATTTGTTTGTAGATCAGCCCATTCGCATTTAAATCTGCTTTGCAAACTTTAAATAAAATGATTGGTTACAGTTTGCTTGTTTTCGCTTAGTTTGACAAATAATACAATGATACCCTGTTAGCCTGTTAACTGTAACATTAAATTAAAAAACAGCCGAAAAGAACAATCTATAAAATGGTACATTTTATTCCAATACAGGAAAAAGTCTTCAAGAGAGAAAGCTAAGAGAGCAGAGAAATCTCATAGCTTTGATTATAAAATACATTTCTCTGGATCTACGTCATGAAGGAAACAGAAGATGCTCATGTGTACCGGCTAGCAAAATCAATAAGTCAACTAAACAACAACATTATCTCCTGTGTTTCACAACATTACTATTTACTATACATACAAGTCATGCATGCTACATGAATAGGTTTCCTCCTAGTTGTTGGAGTGGCCTGCGTCACACTCATCCTTGGTATGACGTTACAGGTTCCTCCATTCCACTCGGTTAGTTCTGCATCTCTGCTGTACGGATCACATGACTTTATAGGGCTAAATCTGGGCTATAAATTGCCTTACAAGACATTATTGTTATGATGTGACTTGCTGATAATTATGTTTATACAGGGTCAGTACCCATACGTTGGGTCTTATACCTCCGCCGTCTTTTATATTTGAGAGTTGTTGCTTTGCAGATGGCATACTGTACCTACTTGTTCGATGATTCCGCGCCAAAATTTGAAAATTCGAATATTTTAGACCACGCCCATTCAATATTAAAACACATATATTGTTCTCTGTAAACATGTTGGACGCCTTATTTTTTTTGAAACGGTAGATTATTACATTTTGCATCTGATCTGAAAAAATGATGTGAAACAGATTAGAAATTACGAAGTTATCATGCGATTTGTGTATCTCTTTTGCAAAATTGATTGGGTGATTATGTGACACCGTGACACGACACCTTAATTGAGCAGCCTTAACGATTCCCATTATAATGTTCAACGGGGTAGTTACTGGGGTCGCCTTATCACGTGATTAGGTAAGCCAATCACCTGATCACACGTAAAGAATAAACTCGTTATGCTTCGTATCTCGGTCATCTGAGAAGCTATAACTCTACTTTTTTTTCAGGACAAACGTACGTTTTTCGTAATTCGAACGGCCAAACATAATTCAATAAAATTTACCTCGATCCGACTATCCAAATTATCAAATAAATGCGAAAATGAATCTTCATGTTAAGTTATACCAGAAAGAATTATTTCAATTGGGCACTCAGTGACTGAGCTATAAAGGCCAACGTATGGGTACTGACTTTTGGCCCACCCTGTACTTTCAACACTACTATATATAACACATAATTTGAGGATGTTTCAATGGTTCGCCTGAGCACTGGGAGACTTTTGGGCCGTAAGTGCTCAGGCGAACCATTGAAACTGATCCGGCCCCCGGGGGTCATGTCATGTCACCAATCAGTGACGACTGACGTACAATTAGTGATGTGATTCATGGATTGAATATAATTGACCTAGAAATGTGCTAGATCTGGCCGATCTGGGGTAGAGTTTATATGACAACTCCGTATATACAAGCTATAAATATATAGGGACGGGTACCTTGCTAAAGGGGGTTCTCGTATCAAGGGATGTGAGACGTACGTGCCAAAGGCATGCAAGGGGAGTAAGCCGATCAAGTGTTCTTAGGTATAAATATTGGATGATAGAAGGTAATAGTATCGCATTGTATCAACAGTCATACCTACCTTCTCCCAGTTCCTCAATGGTTTCAGAGGATATATCTACAACAGGAAGAAACATGATGACACCGTCCTCTTCTCTGCTTGGCGTTGCCAGAAGAACAAATCCCTTGAATTTCCTGGCCGGTGCTACCTCGCTCTAACGGACAACACTCTTTCTCTTGGAAGTAAAGTCCGATTCGGATTTGGCTACCCCACAGAGACTCAAACTCCTAACAACGCTGAAGAGAAAGGCTGCTGAACAACCCATTAAAGTTAGATATTTTAAGGATAAGATATTCGCGAGAACCGCGAGGCTGGTTGCGTTTTTAGCTTTTGTCCCAGTAGCTGATGTTGAGGAGGCTTTCTTGGCAGCAAGTGCCTTCCTAGCAGCAAGTGCCTTTTTGGCAGTAAGTGCCTTCCTAGCAGCAAGTGCTTTCTTGGCAGCACTTTCTAAATCCAATCTAACTATCCTGAGTTAATGGTTGTAGTGAATTATTTCGAGAAAATCTACTTAGGGTCAGCCATTGTAGACAGCGAGGTGAGGGTTCCTTCCACTTATCCTCTAGAGTTCTGGAATCATTTTGCCAGTATTATTCAGGAACCGGTGTTCCCTCGGACCTCTAACATGGTGGAGAGGTTTTACAGAGGTTTCAAAACCCGAGTAAATCGCCCAAAGCCCTCTGTTCAAGAATATTTTCATGTTATAAAGGGACTAACAAGTTGTAAGAGACTATCATCTGCATCGTCTGACTGTTGGAAAGACTCCTTCCAAGAAGAAGAGGATTTCCAGCGGTATTCTGTACGACGTTTGTTCTTTTTACACGACATACCCAACAAAGACTGGGTACTTGTTCGCTATTGCGAAATACTTTGGTGTTAATATTGAGTAATTTGTTGTATTCTGAAGTATTATGTTATTAATCGATTTATTTTTGGGGTGGGGTACTCCTTTAGACCCTTACACCCACCGTGACCTGCATATCACAAACACGGAGTTGCTTGACAAAGATTCCTGTCAGCTTCTAATGTGCAATGTGCACTTCGGAACCAGCTAAGATGATTATCTGTGTGCTTTACAGACAAGGGTGTGTGTGCTTTTCAGGCAAGGGAGTGAAGACAGGAAAGGGAAGAAAGAGAATAAAGACAGGAAAGGGAGGAAAGAATGGAAAGAAAGTAAAGAGAGGAATGAAAGTTAAGAAAGTTGAGGGAAGAAAAAGAGGAACGAAAGTAAAGGGAAGAAAGAGAGGAAAGATAGAAGAAGGAGGAAAGATAGGAAAGAATGACTATAATGGAAAGAAAGTAAAGGGGGAAAAGAGAGGAAAGAGAGGAAAGGGAGGCAGGGACAAAAGGAAATTGCGGCATGTACGGAATCGCGATTTTTCCCATTATTTGCGACAAATTTTATGTATATATAGTTTAATATACCGCAAAATGTAATTCGCAGTATCGCGATTTTTGGCCAAAATAATCGCGAAATCCTTTTGTTCCTAAAGGGAGGCAAGAAGGAAAGAAAGGAAAGAAAGGAAAGAAAGGAAAGAAAGGAAAGAAAGGAAAGAAAGGAAAGAAAGGAAAGAAAGGAAAGAAAGGAAAGAAAGGAAAGAAAGGAAAGAAAGGAAAGAAAGGAAAGAAAGGAAAGAAAGGAAAGAAAGGAAAGAAAGGAAAGAAAGGAAAGAAAGGAAACAATGGAAAGAATGGAAACAAAATAAAGGGAGGAAAAGGACGAAAGAGAGGAAAGGGACGAAAAAGAGGAAAGGGACGAAAGAGAGGAAAGGGACGAAAGAGAGGACAATAGATCAAGCTCCAGGAGCAAAACCATTCTTAAGAAATTTAACTAATTCCTTGCTCGATACAGGAGATAATGTTGCAGCTTTCTAACGATAGCTGATCTAACTTTTGAAAGAGTGCGGAGTTTCTTAAGGATTTTGTTGAAATTGTTCTCGTTAATACATTTTCATCTTGAAGATTAATATAATTCAAGCGAATACTTTGTTTAACTGCATTACCAAATGTCAAATTTAAATATAAAATAAAACATTCGCATCCTCAAACTCAAAACTGTGACAACTTATGTGCAGTTTAAGTTTCAAAAAACAGGTTCACACATTTCTGCATATTTCCGCATGGAATTTATATATTATAAGCAATTAGATGTTTTTATCTCGGAAAAAATAAATCACAAGTTAATCAACTTATGATTAACTCAATTCCCAATAATTTGTGTGCCAAAATTATGGGCTTAATTAATTTGTTTGCATGAAATCTTGTTTGGGCAACGAAAAATTTGGGCAACCATTTTGTATAGATGAGATAATTCTACTCTCTTATTTATGATATTTTATCAGTCTTGGATTCCATTATTAAAATCATAAAAGTACCATGCTAAAGATAAATAAATAGACAATAGTAGCTAATCTTATTAAGATATAGTGTCGAAGCCTGTCTACTCGAGGATGCTGCTAACTGTACTGGTGCTAAAAACATCAGACAAGATGCAGTATGTCAGTTCGCATTAAACCAAGTGGAATGGAGGAACCTGTTACATCATACAGAAGATATGTATGTTGAAGGCAGTCAAGCAACTTACATTGAAGACAGCGAATGACCAACTCACTAATTTAATGCATATTGCCGATAAATTTTACCCGTACAAATAATTTATCAAGGCAGGACTACTCGATAGTCGTTAATCCCTTCCAGTTTACATATTGAACCACAACCATTGGTCCAATACCCTGACGTGCATACCGTTGGAATTTGCAACAAACGGGACGGTCTGATTAGATTTTAGGATGAGAGGTTAGATCGACAAATAAAACACATAAAATTCCATGCATAATGTTTGAAAGCTTTAATTAACAATTTCAAAGGATTGTAAACACACACAAAAATTTTACATAAAACTTAAGAAATGTCGTAAGTGTCCTATTTATTCAAAGTACGGTGCAACACTAGAGGGCTGAAATCTTCAGTTCTAGTCTCCTCTGCGGTGGGAGTGATGCCTGTGGGGGTGATGCCTGTGGGGGTGGTGACGTCTGACAGTCTTCTTGGCACGTGCTTTCTTGGCAGCAAGTGCTTTCCTAGCAGCAAGTGCATTCTTGGCAGCACGTGCCTTCCTAGCAGCAAGTGCCTTCCTAGCAGAAAGTGCCTTCCTAGCAGCAAGTGCCTTCTTGGCAGCACGTGCCTTCCTAGCAGCAAGTGCCTTCCTAGCAGCAAGTGCCTTCCTCTTGGCAGCACGTACTTTCTTGGCAGCACGTGCCTTCTTGGCAGCAAGTGCCTTCCTAGCACGTGATTTCTTAACAATAAGTGCCTTCCTCTTGGCAGCAAGTGCCTTCCTAGCACGAGCCTTTGCAGCACGTGCCTTCTTGGCAAATCTGTGCCTGTGATGTCGGATTTTTCGGAAATGGTGGCGGCCCCAATCAGCATCAGTACTCGCTGTCGTCTCAACTTCTGAAATCAAATATGAACTTTTAAATTATTTGTACCCTACATTCAATATTATCATTGACAAATAAACGATTTCAGTGCAGTATGAACTCCTCAGAAATTTACCATCAAAATCATTTTAATTGAATTAGAAAAATTTATGAAAGCTATTTCATTACCTTCAGCTGCAGTAGTGCAGTAGAGAAAAGCGGCGATGACCAAGAAAAGCAAGAACACCTTCATCTTGAAAGTTTGAACCGGTGGCAAAAAGCAAGCAGAAAATATGATGAAATTTTGTTATTATGCTTGACCTTATGTAGTTCGCATTAACTGAGGTAATGGGAGCCTTTTTTCCTACCAGGAATTGCTCAAACCTATATTTAGCCTGGATAGGATTAAGGCTGCAAGAACTATGAAAATGATTAGTAATATGTGAAGTATTTGTAATATGTACAAGGAAATGCCGAGCTTTGGTGCTGCATTATGTTATATTGTTTTGTTTCATATTGTTGATGTAGAGTTCTAGAAAAAGCCTACATAAAAATAAACATTAAAGTTGATTTTTTTAAAATTATAGTTTTTAGTAAATATGGGGAGTCCAACATAAGACAACCGAGGTTCTGAACTGATATAACAAAAATTGATATGTTATAAAAAACAAATCGTACCCCCTTGGCCTCGTGCCCCAATGCATCGGACACTTAGTGATTTCACCTAGCCTGCTCCCTGATAATCTTCAATCTTGTCCTAGTACGTCTGGGCACGATGAACATGAGCCCAACGCGGCAACGCTCTGGAGTGCACGAGATTCTGGGGCAAGACGACTTGAATCGTCAGTCTTGAGGATATTAAATTGAAATTGTTCGGAAGTTAGCACTTGATCGATGTAAACGGAGGAAATTGTTTCACTGATGAAAACAGGGATCTCAAAATAGCGCGACTGATCACGTGGTCACTATAATGGGTGGAGCTGGTCCAGACCCGAGCAGATTCCTTGTGGCCCTGCTTGGAGACCCTGTTTGGTGAGAAGTCAGCTTCATTACCTGAGACTAATTACCTACAAGTATCTATATTACAAAGAATTACCATTATGACCAAAAGTAACGTAGTTGTTTTTTACAGGTGTTCTCTACAACGACGAGGGACAATCCTTCGAGAAGGTTCTATATTACGGTAACGAATGGTTATTGTTCACCTGGGACGTGATACTGATTGTAATGTTAGATTACTCTACTCAGAACTTTACTTTTGCTGCCCTGGGGGCCTGGTTCATCAATGAGGTAAGGACTACTGAGCTTACTGTTTTACTTTTACTTAGTTAATTTAGTTTTGATAATGATAACTTGAATCTTACTATATACATATAAAGCTAGATTGATTACACAGAGATCAAATTATTTGCTGTATAGTGGTGGCGAAAAATGAAAATTGATAATAATACTATATTATAAATTACTAGTTACTAAGTTACTCCTTAATACTTTAATAATGAAAATGATATCAAAATCTGAAAAACGCACTTAAACTTCTCAAATCTCAAGCCATTTAGCATTCAATGTTAAGTAGCTGCATCAACTCACAACTGTTGTTTTTATAACTGTTGTGTTTATAACTGTTGTGTTTATAACTGTTGTGTTTATAACTGTTGTGTTTATAACTGTTGTGTTTATAAACCGTTAAGCGGCACAAATCTGCAAACACGTTTTGTACCGAAACCGTCACAACAATAAACTGTTGTATATGGAACGCGCTAAAACATTTTAGCAATATAAGTCCCCTTTTCTGCAGTCTGTGCGACAGTTTGAGGAGCGCGGCGCGGTATATAGATTGCACACGGCCGAAGCTTCAGCTATAATAACATGATAATAGAGCGGCATTCTTGAATATCATAAGCTTTTTTTTATCACTTTCAGCTTATCGTGTAAAAATATCAGGTTTAACAAACAGAACTGTAAGCTCAACACACCATATTGCGAGATGCCCTGTTCTATGATCTAATTGGTCGAAAATGCTTATCTTCTTGAGCTTATCCGCAGTAAACATCTTTAACTATCATTCATTCTTTGTCTCTTATCACCACACAAATTGTTAATTAATTTACATTACCTTAAACAAATTTACATTACAATTATACAATTTCGTGATTTTTTCCTTTTCACCCTTTTGAAAAAAGGCAATAGTGAAAGGTTACGAATGGAGGTTTTTGCAGAAAAACGTGGATTTTGGAGATTGCAGTAGGTGGGTTCGAACATGTCGTCGGTACGTACTTCCGTATGTTACCAAGCAACGAAAAAGTTGCGCGCGCGCGAGGATTGCTTGCGGAGATGTGATGTATAGATAGCCTGTGATCTATGAATGCGCGGCGCGACTGTGTTTTCATGTATATGATGCATGTAATGTATAATATTACTATTAGGTAGTACGCCCAATTTGTACGTGGCACGCGTAGTGTATTGATGTGTACACGAATATAGTTTACCTTTGCTGATAATTTCTTGAATTACAGATACAAGTTAAGTTCTACGGCAATTGAACTGAATTTCAAATGTTTCCCGTATTTGATGCATAATTTATCAATATTATTATCATGAAGATTGAAGTGAGCTGATTGGAGCTTATACTTAAATTTATAGTAAATGTGAAATGTAAATCTAGCGTCCGCCAAAACGAAACAACGGGCGCAATTCTTGTTATTCATTTATGGCTTATGCCACAATTCTAAATGCTCCTCTGGTAAGTCAACATTAAGTTTTATTTACTATCACTCAAGCTCAGTGCAATATAATAATAATGTTATGAAACTCCACGAACAACTAATATCTGATATCATCACACAAAACTGAACAACTACACAAACTAACACAACAACGATATTCACTTTTAAGTCTGCAACTAGCTTATAGGACGTATCATACTGATAAGGCCAAAGATAAGGACACGTTATTGTAACGTCTGATTTATACCATATATTTTAACGAATTACTGATTGTTATATCTCATTGATAAGACTCACGATTCTGTACCATTATAGGGCATTATACGACCTCCAGTGACCAGTTCTCGATAAAGAATCTGATTTGAAACACATTATAACTTTTGTATTGTCTAATTACATTCACATAGGTAATTATCACGGTCATGCAATCATCTCTGTCCTTGGTTACAGTCAAATAACCCCGACAATACTATTACTAATAACTTCATTTGATGTTAAGTTTTATAGACTATAGAGTTACAAGTTAAATTGTAGGTGGCGTTCGTAAGAAGCATTTTTCGTGATCACACTAAATAGTAAATAGCTTTAAAATAGATTCGATAGGAAATGTCACTCGAACTAAGGCGTAAAACTAAATATATTAAGATAGTTTTTGTTGCCTGTTGTGTATCTAATGTTGGATGATTTTTTTCGATCCATGACTAAATAAGTGCCGAAGGCACAAAAGAGTCAAGGACAAGGGTTAGCGAACGAGGTTTTTTTGTATATGGTAGCTTGTGACCGAGCGAGCGTGCCCTCGCCCCCAGTTATCGCCCACGTGTCTGCCTGCGCAAAGTTATTTTGCGCGATAATCTGAATTAAACAATTGTTGGCGCGCGGTGCTGAACTGTTCAAGTACATTGTTAATTTAACCATGTACCATCCCGCTAGGGACTAATTGATATAGATAGCATATTATTACTATTTTGAGTAAGTATTACTATTTTGCACAGATCCGTGTCAGGTTGCATAAACTGGAAATCTGCCAAGGCATCCTCACCTAAATTAGAATTCTACAATCAAATTAAACATGATTTTGAACCAGAAACATACTTAGGAGTGGTTAAGATCCCTGATGCTCGAAAAGCTTAACAAGGTTTCGTATTAGCTGCCACAATCTTTACATTGAGAGGGGCCGTTACGAAACCCCCCTAGTACCAAGAGAACGTCGATGGTGCACTTTCTACTTTTTCAGCAAATGGGCTTAAGCCTATTGAGGACGAAATTCATGTTCTAACTGACTGTTTACTCTACTCCTCAGTTAGAGAAAAATTCAACTTCTATCCCAAAAATATTACTGACCTAGCCGGTTTGCTATCCGATAAAACACTAGACCCTACAAAATTTACTGCCACAGCAAGAGCAATCCATTCAATTCTCTCTGTGAACGAACAATTTACAGCCTACTATAAGAGCCCAGATTTCCACTCAAATACTGGCCAATGCATAATGCTATAGGACCTCAAAATAATATCGAAATCTACAAATCCGATCTATTAATAGAAAAATAGTATTATAAAACATTTCTATTTTATCCCTACACATTTGTAAATAACTAGAATTGTTTAACCTTAAATTATTTCAGAATTATAACTATTGTGAATTCAACAAAATAATTATCACTTTTGTATCCTTGTATCCTTGTATCCTAAACAATAAACATATGGTTACATAGAAATATACACGATTTTCAAATTCAATATGGATTTATATTAACTGTGCGGCGCTCGGCCTGTCACTCCGCCATATCTGCATGCTTATAAACAGTAAAGACTGGGGTCCCCAGGTGGTATGGAATATGATAAAATACGGGGCCTTCGGATCGGGAAATTGAGCGGCCATCCACAAAAGAAAAGCGGCCGCATTTCTTGTTAAGTAAACCACTGCTATGACTGCAACGCACATTCTATATTTCTGTGTACATTTACATTATTCATATATTTAAAATTACATATTTATTTATTTGTTGATTTACCAATTTATCAATATATATTCTGCAGGTTATTCTGAAGAAGTTCAGCGAGTGGAGATGCCAAAAGAACGTGGGCGACAAAGCTCTTATAGATGAGCGGTTTCTGTTGTGATGTGTAATAGATATTTTAATTTGTACCAGTCCCGTCTTATCTAAACGGAGACTGTTGAAATTGTGTGATATGAGACCTGTAAATCATGAGAAAGATTTGAAGTTGACATTAAAGAATAGAAGTAAATAACATTGCATTTGTTTCCAGAATACAGATTTAGATGGAAATATTCAAAGCGGCTAAATTTTTTGTGAGTCAATCGAATTCTTTCTATCACTTGACTATAGGTAATAGAGTATTTGTTAAATCAGAAAATTGGTGTTACTTTCGGTTACCAAGACCAATCAAGTTGAGGTATGTTTAAAACTGGACTTGACATTTGACCTATCAGCAATACGTGGCCTTTTATAATTCCCCTGTATTAGTACTGTAAGTATATTCTCGAGTAAATTTCGCGTCGTATAACTGTAGTTAATAGTGCATAATTAATAGTGCATAGTTAATAGTGCATAGTGCATAGTCGTGGGTAAACGAGTACGTACTCAAATATAGTACATGATTATGACAACAATAACGATCAACTCTTTGAGACAAAAGATTAGGCACATATCAATTGAATTAAATATGTGTTATTCAGTATTTACAATATATATATATATATTCTTGTATCTTTATCTATTTGGTATTTATTTTGTTTATCATATCAGAATTTTAAAACAAATTGAGTTTACTTTAGTGTTTAGCTGATGAATAAATTAGGTTAGTTTTACTTTTTTACTTGGCAAAAACCAAAAAGTCTTATTTTTGGACGAATACAAGTTCGCAACTTTAACTTTGTAAATTTCTGTACTCTGATTGGCTGAACTGTGTCACGTGACGATTGGAATGTGTTACGCGTGCAATCTCACCGATACTGATACTGATACTGATATCAGTGATAGTAACACACTCATCCAGTAAGGTTTAATTTGCTGGGCTGGCCTCCAGCTCGCCATTTTTGAGATTTAATCGAATCGAGGATGTTCAAAGGGTGCAGGATGTTCAGCTCGACAAAATAACGGGGGAACTTATATCGTAGGCCCTAAGATGACTTCTTCAGGTCCAGTCTTAATTCTTTTCCTTAAATTGGAAGTAACTCACTAGCTGAAGTAGCACTTAATTGTCGGATTAAAACTTGTGAATCTGACCTCCAGCTCGCCATTTTTGAGATTCAAGCAAATCGAGGATGTTCAATCGGTGCAGGATGTTCTGCTCGTCAAACTACCGTTGGAGATTATTTGATAGGCCCTAAAATGACTCGTCCAGATCCAGTCTTAACTTTCATTTTCAATTGGACAACTAATTTAATATAATAATAACTAATATGATATAATGCTTTTGGACACGAAGAGAAATACGTACAGCGTAAGGCTTGAAATCTTCGTTAAACTACATCATTAGATTTAGAGCCTGTAAAAACATTTAACTTTAAGATAAGCTAAGCACCCTATCAAGTGAAATTCATATATAATCATCATAGTTTATTAATAATAATATATTAATAGTATAAACTGTAAACTATAGCTGATGTTGTAGGTTTAATATAACCTACCAGGACGCGCGCCGAGTTTTAACGGGTGATACTCCATACTCGTGAAATATCTGTTCCATATATTTATTGGGACCGTCGACGACTCCAACTCGGCGCACGTCCTGGTAGGTGTAAACCTACAAGCCGAGTTGGACTCGTCGACGAAACAAATATTTTTCGAGTATCATCCGTTAATAGCTGATGTAGCTCTGATACATGATACATCGAAATAAAATCTATAATATCTATGCAGGAGTCCTTACTGGCTGGGGCCTGTCTTAGAATTAGTAAAAGAGATGGAGACTTTTGTGTTTTGGTTTTTTGCAAAATGTTCGCCTGGCCTGGCCTCTCGTCGCGAAAATTTAACATCTCCTTTTTTTAAATTAAAGAGAAATTTGGTACAATGTAGATTTTTAGATACACTAAAAAGTTTTATTTTGTGCAGAAATGTGTTAGAATGTGTTATGCGTACAATCAGTAAACTTAATCGCGCGAGTATAAACTCGCTGTATGTGAACTGTGAAGACGCCGCGCAATCATTTCTAGTTGCAGTGTAACTAACACCTAATACAGCTTGTCGCACACACAGCCACGCGCACGTATTGTTGAATTAAAATTCCCAAATACAAATGTTATATATAAGCACCGGGTGGAGAGCTTGTTCACTTATCAAGTTATATTATCAATTTAAAAATACGTGTTACATTTTGCATTTACAATTTATTAATTACCGGAGCGGGGCCAAAATTTTATGAGTTTAATAATTTTAATTTGGCAAATATATCGATCGTTTGCGTTATAGGCATTGCTTGTATCAGTATCACGTTGCGACCCCCACGGTCGTTTCACTATAGTCCCATATCGTCCTGACGATACAGGGGAGCCGCGCACTCGTGCGCGGCGGGTCTTACAACGTATGACAAGGCATTACTTGACCATTGTTAATGATCTGGCCCGGCGCGCGCTACTTCGTAGCACGTTCCATCGGGCCATTTGGAGAAGAAAGCGGCGCGCGCTACTTCGAAGAAATTTAGACGAGTAACATCCGTCAAAGGCATTGCCATTATTTTTGATTTAACCATATAAAAAAAAAAAAAAAAAAAAAAAAAAAAAAAAATATATATGATAAGTATGATGTATTGTGTTTTAACGAAACTAACTGCACACTAGAAAAATTGCCTAACGGAATAAACGACATCACATTAAATGGATTCCATGAACCGTATATCCAAGATCCCATCCGCACATCGGGTAAAGGTGGGGGGCTTGCCATATACATACACAAACGTGTAGCTGACTCTGATAAAATTGATATTTTCAATCCCAACCCTGAACCCTCAAATACTAGCGGCGAATTTCAATTTATCAAGATCCACCAGTGTAAAGGATATAATAGAACAAAGATAATTGGAAATGTTTATCGCTCTCCCGCTAGAAAACCTGAAGCATTTCTTGAAATTTTTAAAAGTACGCTTCACAACCTGGGAAGACACTCTCGCAAACATATGACGTTACATGGAGATTTTAATCTAAATTTACTGAAGCACAGTAGCAACCAGGCATGTCAAAGCATTATAGATATTGCATCCTCTTACGGTTTCATCCAAATTGTATCACGTCCAACTCGCATAACAGACCACAGTGCCACGCTTATTGATCATATCTACACGAACAATCTTGAAGATACAATAAGCTGCAACGTATTAACGACAGATCTGTCGGATCACTTAGCGATAGTTACAACAATTAATCTTGATAATACATCCACCAGCAGTTACCGCTCCGCATCTTATAATCAAAATCCAACACAAACCAACGTACGTAGTTTTAATGAGGCCAACAACCATAAATTTAGAGATTTAATAATGGAAGAAAATTGGTCTGTAATACTAACAAATACCCCTGATGCTAACCAGCAGTTTGATTGTTTAAATTCGGCTTACAACAGGATTTATAACGCTGCCTACCCGACAAAAAGACAGTCCGAGCGCAGACAAAATGAACGTGTTAATCCCAAACCATGGATACTGCCCTGGCTTGAAGAAGCTATAGAACGTAAAAATCAGGCATATCATGATTTTGTTAAGGAACCAGTTGATAGGAACCAGCTAAAATATGACCGTTTGAAAAAGTTTTGCACCAAACACGTTGACAAAGCCAAAAACATACACTACAAAAAATTCTTTGAACAACACAAAGATAATTCTAAGAAGCAGTGGCAGATGATTAACGGACTTCTGAATAGGAAACCAGCCAAACCTACATCGATAAAACTGTCGGACGAAAACGGACAAGTCAGCACTCCGGCAGCAGTAGCAGAAAAATTTAATGATCACTTCTCAAACATCGCTCCAAAAATTAAATCTGAAATTAGTAGTAGGACCACTTTCGATCCTGGTGGGGCCCAGGGGACACTACGTAACCCTTCTCCAAATAGTATCTACATAAAACCAGTCACAACTACCGAAGTTCAAGACGTTATTAACCTATTTAAGAATAAAGCTACTCTTGACACCAAAATCCAACCACTCAAAATTGCCAACAGCTGTCATAATTTTACCACTGTATTGGCCCACGTTGTTAACAGCTCGTTCGAACAAGGGGTCTTTCCCCAAGCCTTGAAAACGGCAAAAGTAGTTCCTGTACATAAAGGTGGATCTAAAACTGACATCAAAAATTACAGACCGATATCTCTACTTGCCACTTTCTCAAAAGTCTACGAAAAGCTTATGCACAATCGAGTCATAAATTTCTTGGATACCTACAATATACTTTGTGAAAATCAATACGGCTTCCGCCCAGGTAGGTCTTGTGAACATGCACTTCTTAATGCTAAAGACAGAATCCTCAATTCAATGTCTAAAAAGCAAGTTACTTTGCTCCTCTTGATTGACTTTAGCAAAGCCTTTGACCTTGTGGATCACTCCATACTCCTGAATAAGCTCGAGCACTATGGCATAAGAGGTCTAGCTTTAAACTGGTTTAAATCATATCTTATGAACAGAAACCAGTTTGTATCAATTGGATCCTCTGAATCCTCAGCCAATCCAATTATTTACGGTGTACCCCAAGGTTCAATTTTGGGACCTCTCCTTTTTATAATCTACATAAACGATCTTCCTCAAATATCAGAAATAGCTAATTTCATCATGTACGCAGATGATGCAAACATTTTCCTAACAGGAGAAAATATAAACGAGGTTTATGATAAGCTCAAAATTCTTAGCGATGTCTTAGTTAAATGGGTAGATAACAACGGATTAGCTCTAAATCTTAAAAAACCGAATTATATGATCTTTTCTCGACAAAGAAACCTCATTTATCGCGATGTAGTAATTTCTGGTGTCACAATCGAAAGAAAAACAGAAGCCCGTTTCTTAGGTGTTATAATAGATAACAAACTGAACTGGTCGCAACATATTTCTGCCATGAAAATGAAAATGGCCAGATACATTGGAGTCATGTACAAACTTAAAAAATATTTGCCTCTGGAAGCACGTTTACAAATATATCACAGCTTTGTGCAGTCTCACCTTAATTACTGCTCCCTCGTCTGGGGTTTTGCTGCCAAATCCCATATAGAAACACTATTTGTTAAACAGAAAATGGGTCTTAGAGCAATACTACCAGGTTTTGTTAATTACTGGTACAAAGATGGTACACCACCAGCAAGTACCAAGTCTGGTTTCTATGTACACAAAATATTGACAGTTCAAAGTATCATCGTGAAGAACGCATTAGTTTTTATACATAAGCTAAAAAACTTCCCAAGTCTAGTGCCTCCCTCTATAAAGAAAACAATACCTAACAGTGCACCAATATTTAACGTCGCCGATCCGGATTCGAGTCTTACAACTTTATGGTCAGATGAATACGGTAAACACCCTTACAATAATTCAGTATTCTACAAAGGTCCACTATTAGCAATAAACAGATATAGTGTCGCAGCAACTTCCTTGCCAAGTCTATTCAACCTTAACATCTACAAAAGGTGCATAAAAAACATGCTCATTGATCAACAAAACGAGGGCATTGCAGACGAATGGCCTAACTTTATGTTATACAATAAAACGGGACTAAGGAAATCAGAGCGCAACATCAACCGTAATGCTAATAATAACTCTGTCCCATAAGCACGCCATCACAGAATCAATTTCACTGCATACCATCTCAGTTACACTGCCATCAATTCGCCAGCAAAAACGGCATGACGCTATGCGACTGATAACTTTTAGTTAAATTTTAAAAATTTTGGAATAGCTAGCTAGCAGTAGCTATGCGCCTGTTTCCACTCTAACAAATCTAAAAGCATATTAATATGATAATTTCAACTAAAGGCAACTTTATATGTGCTCAGCTATGTTTTGTTTCGACAAGCTCTATTATATACATTTTAATCGTTTTAATGAGATCTAATCTTGTATGAGTTTTGAGTTTGAATTGATAACACTTATTATATATATTATTTTTTGAGTAAACATTGGCTGGTACTTCGGGCCGGTCCCCAACAAAAAAATATGCTTTTGCGGCGCTGGGGGCGCGCCCCACTTGCTCTGCAAATGCAAGGATTTTGGTTGGAGTAACTATTATAAGGTAATAAATCTCAAAACCGATGGTGATTGAGCGCGGCTCCACGAACATCGGCACAGTGGGGCCGGTACTCGGAGCAAAGCACCCGGGTGGTATTTTGCGGAATACTGTCCGATTTGGCAGAAAAATTTACAATAGGCCTTGTTTTAGGTCCGCGTAAAGTTGTCGGTTACCTAGCTTGACTTTCTTTCTGTTTTTATAATAAAAATCTTAATGGCCATCTGTTATGACGGCGTTTTGGTGAATTAAAATAACTCCATTTGAAAACTTCACTTTAATCAACAACTTTTTTGGAGAGTTGCTGAAACGTATGTTTAAGATTATAGCTTGTAAGTGCATCTATGATTGTCCTGGAAGATCATCGTTCAGTAAAGTGACGCTTATAGATATCTATAAGGTCCGATAAGGTCCAAGGGTGGTGTAAAGACATCAAGATGCTAGCTGATATTGCAGAATCTGAGCCTCAAGCAGCCTACTCAGCCTACATCTCTGGCATCCAACACAGATGGAAGTTTTTTCAAAGGACTGTTCCTCACATCTCTGAAGCCATGGAGCCGCTAGAACATGAGATAAGACAAAAGCTTCTGCCAAAGATGCTGGGCAAGGAGATCTCAGACTTAGAGAGGGACGTGTTAAGTCTACCAATAAGATTGGGAGGATTGGGCATTGGTAAACCCCACGAGGAATGCCACTCTGCGTACACAGCTTCCAAGCTACTCACCACCGAGCTTACAAAGGCAATAGTGGACCAACAGGAAATTTACACTGCATCCAGTAATCTAAGCAAATCAGGGAAAGAAATGATCAAAAATTTGAAGAACTCCGAGCTCCAAGCCAAGTTTAACGCTATAGCTGAAAGATGTGGCACCTCCTCCAAGAGAGCACTACTAGCAGCAAGAGAAAAGGGAGCATCCAGTTGGCTTAACACATTGCCACTTCAGCAGTATGGCTACACTCTGAACAAAGAGGAGTTTCGTGACAGCGTCTGCTTACACTACAGCTGGTGGATACCAAACACTCCCATCACTTGTGGATGTGGGAAAACAAGTGACCAGAAAACATCTTGACCACCTTCTCACCTGTAAGCTAGGGGGCTACGTGATAATGACCCACAACAACATCAGAGACACATTGGCAAATCTCCTTCGTGAGGTATGCCATGATGTGAAAGTCGAACCCCAGCTACAGAAGGTAAATGAGGGTGACTGCCTCAACCCCAAGACTATAAAAGGTGACCAAGCTCGGCTTGACGTATCTGCTAGAGGAGTTTGGACTCCATTTGATAAGACCTTTCTTGACATAAGGGTTTCACACCCCAATTGCTTATCAAACAGGACCAAAACTCTTCAAGAAGTATACGAAGAGAACGAGAAGGAGAAGAAGGATGAGTACTTGGAGAGAGTGTTGAATGTAGAGAAGGCCACTTTCACCCCAGCTGTATTTCTCACAACTGGAGGCATGTCCAAAGAATGTAAGCGATTTGTAAATAGATTAGCAGACCTCATCGCCAGGAGAAGGAAAGAGAGGTATTGCGATGTGGTAAGACATGTGAGGACAAGAATAAGATTCGCAATGTTAAGAACCACACTCATTGCTCTACGAGGGTACAGAGGGAAAAAAAATGGACAGCAAATATGAGAAACCACTATCAGAAGTCTCTTATAACCTCATCCCTGCCCCTATGATGGAGTAGATGTGTATATATTTGATTTTTGATATTTCATATTATATAATATTGGTAGCAGTGGACAATTTCCGTTACCTCTGTATTGTGCTCTGCCAATTGCAACACTTGAATTAATTTATTGTATATATGTTTTAATACTTTCAACACTACTATATAACAAATAATTTGAGGACCCCTAAACTGCCACTTACTCAAATTTTGTCACTACCCCCCGTGACTACAGTTTAAGACCTGCTCCCCAACAGGATCTTCTTGTGATGCCCCCAAAGATAGATCATATGGAAATTAAAGTGGCCGGGTCGGTGTCTTCGAATTATGTACCATTACAGGATAATGACAATGTATTAAAAGATCCTCGACAGCTTGAGGAAAATGGCACTTGTTCAAACTGTGCAGTTGAAAAAGCCCAAGTTAAAGATGAAACGGTATGTTGTATCAATTGTAAAAAGTTGTTTCATGCCCTCTGTGTGGCTCCTGTTTCAAATGACTCAAACAGTGCTAGGCCCAAGTCTAAGTCAATGCCCAATAATCCCTGTACCAAGTCTTTCTACACAGCTTTTGTACAAAACAGTTCGAACAAAAGTAAAGAACAACATATGGGAAACTTTCTCTTTATGTGTGATCCTTGCTTTACACATCATCAAGTGAAGCAGACTAGCACAACTAATGATCATGTTCAGGTACTTGACAACAGAGTAACACACTTAGCTAGTGATGTCACAGAGATTAAGAAATTATTGGAGAATGTAATTGCTGGGAAATCTATTAACCATTCCCCTGTTGATAATCTCATCTCGACAGCCAAAGCACAGTGTACCTTGAAACCAGCTACTGATCAGGGTGAGAACGTGTGGCTCGATGAAATAAGAACAAAATCCTTGCTGGTTGTTACAAAAGGTGCTAATGTTCCATGTAAAGATCTAGAAAAGACAGTGGTTGATAATGGAATCCAGGTTCATAAGCAATATGTTGATAGTAATGGTGATCAAGTACTCATATTACCAACCCAAGCTTCACGAGATAATCTGAAGACAGAGCTGATATCATCAGGTATAGCTGCTAATCAACTGAAAGAACCAAAGCAAAGATATCCCACTATCTCAGTTGTTGGTCTACCTAAGGATTTTAGTAGAGATCACAAAGAAGAGATAAGGAACACCATCCTGAAGCAAAATCCTTACATTTCTCACTGCCTCAAAGCAGACTCTTCACTGTTTGATGTTCTGTCTGTGAAACCTCTCCGTGCAAACCAAAATATCAAACAAGCCATCATAAGGTTGAGTGATAATATTAGAATTGCTATACGAGATAATAATAACAGGTTGTTCTTCGGTTTACTGTCTTGCCAAGTGTATGACCAACTTTACATAAAGAGATGTAACAAGTGTCAAGGCTTTGGTCACTATTCTAAGACTTGTAAAAACGAAGTGTATTGTGGTTTCTGCGCCGCCCCTGGACATGAAACTCAACAATGTGATAATAAGGACAACAATTCAGAGGAGAAAAATGATCTAATGCCCACATACTGTTGTATCAACTGCAAAAAGTCTGGCTCACCTGATGATTTATGTAAACATGCTGCATTTTCTACTGAGTGTCCTTCTTACCGGGTTCAGCAAGAGAAACTTAAAGCCTCCCTATCTTATTATTCAAAAAACTAGTTTCCTCCAAACCAAAGAAATTGCATCAACTTCGATATATGATCTGGAATGCTAGAAGTCTTAATAATAAGTGTGACGACATTATGTGCTTACTTCAAGATCATGATGTAGACGTTGCTATTGTAACTGAAACATGGTTATCTGACCAAGCCAATACTACAACAGCAGTTATAAAATCATATGGCTACAGTATTGTTCATGATTTCAGAGCAAACAACAGAGGTGGTGGCACTGCTCTGATTTACAACATGGCATTACATTTCTCTGTTGTTAATTTGAAAGTTCCGAACCTGACAACCTTTGAATTCATCGCTGGATCTATAAAGTGCACTCCTGACATGAAGATCCTTGTCCTATGCATCTATCGAACTGGCCCTGTCTCAAAGAAGTTCTTTGAGGAACTTGATGACTTATTGGGTTCTGCAAGTCTGAAAAGTGACTATATAATAATTGGAGGAGATTTCAATATTCACACAGAGTCAATTACTGTAAACTCAACTGAACTGCTGCAGACCACCTCATCTTATGGTTTCAAGCAACTTATTGAAAATCCGACCCACATGAGTGGAGGAACTATTGACCTGCTCTTTGACCAGAGTAACTTGATTGAAACGTCTACAATTGAAATCCTGAAAAACTGTACCCTGAGTGATCACTTCCCCATCATATTTGCCACCAAGAAGTTTCAAACTAACCTCAAAGCTCCTAAAACAATCAATACTAGACAGCTTAAAACCGTGGATTGTGATCAGTTGGCGATTGATTTACTGATGTGTTCCTCTGACTATGAATTGGCAGACTGCTTTGTTGAATCTTGTGAACAATTTTTCCAATGCATTGGTAGTGTCCTCGATGAACATGTGCACCTTTGGTCCAAAAGACTATAAGCTTTGTTCCCCATGCTCCCTGGTTTGATTCTGAGTACAAAGATCAAAGGAAACTTAGAAGGAAAGCCGAGAGAACTAAGCATAAAAGTGAGGAGAACAGGATACTCTTTGAAGAGATCCGAGATGAAACAACAAACATGGCTAATCTTAAAAAACAACAGTATTATAAAGGTTTACTTGACAAAAATCAACATGATGTTAAAGCTATATATAGCATTGTCAATCGTGAGCTTGACAGACATCAGAATACTCCTCTCCCAGAATCAGAAGATTTTTCAAAACTTTGCAGTGATTTTAATCACTATTTCAATGAAAAGATCAAGAACATTAGGAAAGATTTCCCCAGCATAGAAGATTTTGATGTTGATAAACACATTATGAATCAACAGAACAATTCCAACTGTGAAGGTCGGTTATATGAATTTGAACCATGCACAGAGGATGAGCTGTCTGAAATAATCAAAGAAAGTGGAATCAAGTGTGCACCATCTGATTTTCTTCCAACAACTGTCCTCAAAGACAATATCACAAGTTTCATTCCTGTCTTGTGCAAACTGGTGAACCAGTCTCTAGCTAAGGGCACATTCGACGGTTTGAAGACTGCTGACATTATTCCTACCATCAAGGACCACAAACTTGATCCAAATGACTTCAAGAGCTATCGACCTATATCTAACCTCTCTTTTCTGGGTAAACTCATCGAGAGAGTTGTGCTGAAAAGGTTAAATGAACATCTGGCTAAAAATGATCTCAATGTTCCACAGCAATCTGCCTATAAGAAGTTCCATTCTACTGAGACCATCTTGTTAAAAGTAACAAATGACCTACTGCTGGCATGTGATAGCAAATCCTCCACTGTTCTCATGATGCTCGATTTATCTGCAGCCTTTGACACAGTGGAACACAGAAAATTACTCAAAATTCTTTCTGAAGAGATCCATATCGGAGGTACTGCTCTTAAATGGTTCAAGAGTTTCCTGGTAGGCCGCACTCAAAGAACCAGAATAGGCTCTTCTACTAGTGATACGATCATTCTAGAATTTGGTGTACCTCAAGGTTCTGTGTTAGGACCGGTGCTATTCAACATATACATCAGATCTCTGTATAGGACCATCGAGAAATCTGGATTCAATGTGCAAGGATATGCAGATGACCACCAGGTATATAAAACTTTCAAACCTTGTGATCAGGTAAATGTTCTGGGCATCCAAATTGTGAATTGCGCTAGGACCATACAGCGCTGGATGGTTGAATATTGCCTTCAACTTAATCCTGGAAAAACACAAATACTTATCATCGCCTCACCTCAAGTTCTTAACCAGGTCAGTATAGGGGGAGTTAAGCTATCAAATGATACCTGTATCAGATTTGTCAGCACAACAAAGAACCTTGGTGTTCAAATTGACCATCATCTTACTTTTGAGCCTCAAATCATGTCCCTCAAAAAGCATTGTTTCAGACTCCTTAGGAATGTAATAAGGAGAAAATATCTTTTTAGTAAAGCTCAGCTCAAGCTTATAATTAACAGCATCATTGTCTGCAAATTGGACTACTGCAATGCTCTTTATTATGGAATTAGTGACAACCTCATCCACCAACTCCAACTCGTTCAGAATGCAGCTGCTAAAGCTATAGTAGGACTATATAAATATGATCATCTAGGAGACACTCTGAAAGACCTTCATTGGCTGCCTATTAGTTACAGAATTCAATATAAGTTATTGCTTCTTGTCTATAAATGTCTTAATGGTATGGGACCAGATTATTTAAGTGATATGTTTAAATATGCCAATTATAATCATCTTATCTATTTGACTGAACCAAGAGTATATTCACAGTATGGAGAAAGATCGTTTCAGAAGGTTGGCCCTAAATTATGGAATGAGCTGCCTCTTGAAATTAAGAATTGCATGTCACTGGAATCTTTTAAAGTGTATCTGAAAACGTTTCTTTTTAAACGTGCTTTTGATATTAATTAATTTACTACTTTTTCAACGTTTCTACTGTTAAGTGCATACCCTTAACCTTGTAATTTAGTGTATCAAGTCTTTACAATTTTCTATGGTTTGGAACCTAAATGTGGATTGCTTTTCAGGTTTTCTTGTATCCTGACTTGTTTTCGTGGCACACCTGTGCATTTTAAGTTGTTGTGCCACTATAATCTATAAGTTTAAATTATTATTATTATTATTATATACTGTTTGACACACTTTACACCAAAAATAGATATCTATAATAAATAATAAAAATATGCACCCATTGTTCTATACTAAGTACAAGTGGGTATTGACTAGACTGTCCAATGGCCTAGATCTGGTTATATGTAATGGGAGCCTTAAATTCAGGTAGGCAGGAGTTGTATCTTAGCTTTATTATATCTACATTTATTATATCTACATTTCCCAACGATAGATAAAAGGATAAATAAAAGGAACTGTTATATCACAAACAGGTTACCAGACTGAGACCAACAGATTGTCATTGAAAGCTGCAAGCTTATTATAGTTTGATTCCACTTTGACCCGTTATTATGCAATCACCTTCAGGTGGTGTCAATGGATCAAATGAAAAGCGTTGTTAAAGTGAACCAAATAATACTGCATTTTTTTCTTCTTGTTAAAAATTATTCGTAACAATTATGATTCCAGTTTCAATTAGAAGTTATTCCTGTTGTACTGACTAATAATATTAATACTATCACAAAGATCATTATTACATGACAGCACTCTCCCTATCCATCTCGTTATTATACTTCCCCTCAGCTCAGCCTCTCCTACTTATCCATCTTATGGACGTCAATATTTTGAGTTTAGTTGAGAATTGTCAACACCCATTTCCAAGTCGAGTATATATATGTAGTTATCGCCGAAGATGGAACCATTTGTGTCTATTGTCGTCAGAGAATAGAAAAATTAGTCTCATCTGGGCACACCAGCAATTAAGGTTGCTGCCTTTTGTTCCATTTAATTTATGATTTGATCGTTGCACCCAAGTATTTAAGAGAAATTTCTTTAAATAATTTTAATGCAGTCAATCTGATAGGTTTTATACCAGGATATGCTCATTGCTTTCTCGGATGTCTGCTTGTTAATGTTAGGTCCATCTGCCTTATTTAGTCAGGATTTAATTTACAGTTATTCACTTCTGATTTCTTAACAGTTTCTTGTTTCACCTCCGTCCAAGGCGAAGATGCACGATCTCGTTAATTTATCATTTACAGCTGAGCATAAGGGTTCAATTTAAATTATTTAACCTTATGGTGCTGTATAAAAATAATATTATTATTATAAAGGGTCTCAATAAGAGGTCTCGACTGCCTAGGCGTCAAACCTTGGCAGTCGGTAGTTTTCCTCTGGCCCGGGATCAGCTGACCCTAGGGACCAGAGGGTAAAGGTGTAGAGACTATGTGTATCTACAAATCTTTCGAGGTTGTTTTTACAAGAGACAGGGCTTGCTACGCAAGGGAAGAAAACCGGGAGAAACAATCACAAATTATACAAATAAATATTATAAAACCTAGCAAAAAGAAATTCAAACAATCCTACACAGTTACTACAAATGTTTATTACATACTACAGTGTAATACACGATAAATAAATGCTGTATAATCAAGAAACAGGGCTTGCAGGGCAAGGGATGGAACACAGGAACTGGTTACAGAGTGTATAAAACAGTGATTCAGCAAGTACCCATTGGGTATTGCTGATTCTGACCCACAAAATACCACAATCAAAACAAGAATATACAATATAACAAACATCATGTTTATACAAGAATCAGGGCATGCAGAGCAAGAGAAGGAAAATAAGAGAAAAACTCATGTATACCCCTTAGTCCAGTAATTAACAATAATTACTTGTACACAAAACTGTATAATATAAAATACATAACAAATACACAGTCTACCCAATATAAGAGTTAAAAATTGTATAAACAAGAGACAGGGCTTGCATAGCAAGGGAAGAGATATAAGAGGACCAGGTAAAAAGTGTTTATTACAGTATCCAGTGAAGAATAAACTAAATATAGAGTATCTACAGTGTAATATACTCTCAATAATATCATATGTCTAAGACCATCCTGAGAATTCTGGCTGATCCAAGCAAAGCTGTCTTCTGGAGATTAGAGATGCTCAGATTGCAGTGGACTGCGTCGAGGTGTTTACGAAAGTTAATGGTGATAGTTCCTAATGCGCCTATCACCACAGGGACGATTGTGACCTTTCGTAAATTCCAGTTCTTCTTAATTTCTCTTTTTAGGTCTTGATATTTCAGTATCTTTTCTTGTTCTCTATCCAGGATCCGGGTATCTCCTGGGACTGCAACGTCAATGATGGTTGCTGCGTTGGTTACCTTGTCTACCAGGAGGAGATCCGGTCTGCAGTGTTCGATAACGTGGTCCGTGTTAATATGTGTTCACAGGACTTGAGTTGTTTACAAGAGAAACTCGCTGGGTTTGAAATAGAAACAGAACCTGTAATAAATAGGATTTATTACACCAATAATATAAACTCAAATAGTTATATCAAGTTCCAATTATCCATTGTAAATATATAATAGTATATAGATCATTGTAAATATATAGTTTAAAGGAATACGTACCGGTTGATACTCTACAATAACATAAATCTTCTTTCTACAAACTTAATCTTCTTTCTACAAACTTCAACCGGTTCTCATGCTATGAATATATAATGATTAGTATTCTGCTAAGTCTAACATTTCCCCCTATTTAAAAACTTTTGAAAATAGCTCGAAGCTCTTTAAAAACACTTAAAAACACTTGACACGTAATCACCCTAAATTCTACAAATTGCTTAAAAGAACGCGCGTGCGCGGTAAAAATATTTCAACTTTTCACAATCCAATATTAGAAAATTGCTAGTTGTTAGTTACTTCAAACAAAGAAAATGTCCCAATCTCTCAGACAGAAAATTTTGACTGCCATACACGTAGCA